CAGGCCTCTCTCCCTCCCTCCCTCCCTCCCTCCCTCCCTCCCTCCCTCCCTCCCCCCCTCCCTCGATCTACTCCGTGACGACGGGTCGATTTGCGCAGCAGCTTGCAGATGTAGTGCTTCAGCACGTAGGAGAAGGGGGTGCGGGTTGGTCGGAGCTCAGAATCGCCGAGGTTCTATCCGGCGTTCTTGGAATCACTGGTGAGCCCGGGGGTTGGGATAGGATAGGATGTAATTGGTGTTTACGGGAAAGGCAGGCACTAACAACTAACTAGGTCACGCGTGCACCTGGAGCCTGGTGGTTCCGTGGCACATGACTGTGCTGATTTCACAGGTAAAAGCCAAATTTCTTGAAACAACCAGGTTTTTGCAGAAAGCCTGAGACTATTACTCTTTCAGACAAGCTGGTGGTTTTTACTGTTGATGGATGGTCTTACTGCATCTTCGCATAAAGAAAAAACGCTTGTGACAGCACCAGCAAGCCCGTGCAGTATGTTTTGGGATAAGGCATGAATGCCGTAAATAGCAGCATTTTGGATACGCATGCTCGTGACAGAGTGTCTTGTTCCAGACACATCCAACATCCTGCTGAAGTATGTTATGCGGAGAGACAAGAATGCTGTAAAAGAAGTGTTTGTTTGTGCTGTTGTGCAGCAACAGCAAAACATAAGCAGCAACAGCGAAAACACAAGCACCCCACTCCCCTCACTGCAGCGACAGCCAAAAACACCCCCCCGTCCGCAGAAACAGCAAACAAAGAAACACCCCCCCGCAGCAACAGCAAAACAAGCAAAACAACAGCACAGAAAAACAAACAAAACACGGCAGCAACAGCCAAAAAACACATGTATGTATATATATATATGTACTTATTTATTTATACACACACACACGCACCCGCAGCAACAGCAAAACACACACAGACAGACACACACACACACACACACACCCCGAAGCAACATCAAAACAAAACAGCAGCAGGAGCAGCAGCAGCAGCAGCAGCAGCAAAACAAGCACTCTGACCGTGTTTAAGGCATATTCAAACAAGCCGTGAAAGCTTATGACATAGCGCCTTGTTCCAGAAACGTCAAACAGACTTTGCATCATGTTGCAAGAGGCAAGAACGCTGCAAATACCGGTGTTTCAGGCATGTTCGCAAAAGACATGAATGCTTGTGACAGCGCGCCTTGCCCAGAGACGTCAAACGTCCTTTTGCATTATTATGCTATGCAAAGAAGCAAGAATGCTATAAATACCTGTGTTTTCGGCTTGTGCACGAAAGACATGACTGCTTGCGACAGCAGGTCTCGTTCCAGAAACGTCAAGCAGTCAAGCATCCTTTTCGCATTATGTCGTGCAAAGGGCAAGAACGCTGTAAATGCCAGTGTTTTTGGCGTAGGAACGGACGCTATCACCCCCCCGCCCCCCAACCCCCCCCCACCGCGCGACCCCCAAAAAAGCAGGTTAGTACCAGGGTCCTGGTGTGCGCGCCACCAACTAGATTCCCAGCTCCTTCCCACAACGCAGGTTGACCAGCTCAAACCTGGGGACTGCTTCGGTGAGCTCCCACTGCTGCAGCTTCGGCCTCACCAGCACTCTGTGGTTGCGAAGGAGTCGGGATCCAGGGCATCAGCGGATCTACAGCACACCTGACGAAGTACGGAATCTACTCGTAGATGAATCTGGAGAGTTTGGACTCCCCGCTGCTCTTCCAAGCCCGGTCCCGATGCAAAAACGCAACCACACTCACGCTTCTGCAGCATGCTAGACAATTGTTTGGTGGCGTGATAGCGCCACACTTATGGTACGGCAGCGCGAAATCTTGAAATATGCAGTGCCAAGCCATCCAACAGACAGAACCTTTTTCTTCGTAGCTGCCATAAAGGGTAATAGAGACATGGGTGACTTGGAGCACAAAGCAGGATATTGCCCATTGCCGGAGTGACGACTGATCCTAAAGAGCAGTTGGATGAACTGAGCATGAACTGCGCTGAAATCGACCTCCTGTCTGCAAGCTTTACGGCTAAGCTTTACTGTGTGTCGGTCTTTGAATTTTGTACATCTCCTATAGAATCGTTCCGGCGAGGAGCACTTTTTGTGTTTCAAGATATGCGAGCCAGGTTACAAAGCGCCCTGATCTCTCACGCTGCAGTTCAACTGCTGTTCCATGTTGTCATAATCAGGAAGCAGGTCCTCCTTGCACCGAAAGCAACTCACCCATATCATTGATGCCATCCGGCTGGGCTTTAGCTTTGTCCCGCGGTACGTGTATGTACCAACTGCCATCTTCATCCATCATCTGCGTATTCGTGTGTATCTGCTTCTTGGCATGTGTGCTTGCATAGAGATGAACGTGTATACGGACTGTGTGTATGTTTTCTTATATGCATATATCTACATGGATTGGTATAGGGCTGCTAGCTTCCCATACACGCACATACATACAGACAAACATGTGAAGGTGCATGCATACATACCATTTCACGTACAGATGTCTCAGTTTCGGGTCCGATCTCGGAATGCGGGTCCTAGAAGCTAAGTTTAAGCCCTAATTATGGCCTCACTCCGTGATGTTTGGAAGGTCGTGCAGGGGCTTAGTGAAGAAACTTATGTCAGGAGCGAAGTTGTGCCTGGGTCATTGACCGATGGCAATTCAAGGAAATCCTTTTCAAGGCTGCGACTGATCTTGATGTTTAGGGTAGGAGTTTATGTGAGCAGGTATTTAGTCACATGTTCATGGTGCCTGCTTGTGCCAAAGGAGATGTGGCGGTAGCAAGTTGTAGCAAGCATTGGCATGTAGAACTGAAGAGATGTCCTTGTACTGGGCCAGGTACCTGACAGCAAGCTGATGGAGTACATCAGTTACCTGGTCATCCAGTCGAGATTTAACAACCGCTGACTGTCCAAACATGAACCCCTGCATCCGAACTCTTACGGCCTTCAATACCCCAAACTCTTCCAAACCCTGAGATTCCTAAACTTTCCTAAACCCTAATGCCTTCACCCACAGGCGAGCAACACCTCCAATCGAAGCAGCGCCAGGATCGCGTCTCGATCCTGGATGCGCTGTCGGGAGAGGAAAAGACATCGACGGCACAGGCTCCGGCTCAGCAATGTTAAAGGGGTCGCGAGAATCAGCAGTTATGGTGACCTGCGGTAGGATTGAAGGACAGCATTTCGTAGCCAACTCCCGAAATTTCGATCTCTCGAAATGCAGAGTAGAGATCGTATGAGCGGTGATAACACTCAGCACTCCGCCTACCGTCAGCATGCGGCAGGCGCTGACTGAGATGAGCTTCAACAAGGGCGACGTCATCTTGCAACAGGGTCACATGGCTGAGAGTTTAGAGGTTTTTTACGCAGAGCTGTGCGATGGGACAGAGACGAATGCCTGCATCGAATGTTGACCAGGTGAGACAGGAGACTCCTTTTACATCCTGTTCGACGGCGAGGCCCCGCACCACTCGAAGCCCAGACTCTCCAATCCCAAACCCGAAACCCCAAGACGAAAACGCTGAGACCAGAGGCTCGAATTTGTTCAATCGATGATTTGTTCCAGCTGCTGCTTCCTGCTGTGCGAAAGATGTGCACCTGAAGCGAAAGGACCTCGCACGTGTGGTTGCATCAAATTGCCTCATCAATGTATTCCAAAACCACATTCTGATTTTCTATTAAGGCCCCCCATAGTAAGCCATAGTATTGGCCCCTCGTGCTTCTTGTCTGCTATGCCTTGCAGAGATGAAGTTTCAATAGCCATCTCAAACTTTCAACCTGTTTCGCATGCTAAAGGATGACAAAACTCTTACAACAACTGCAATGGACTAAAGCCACGTGCACCAGATCTTGACGCCTTCAAAATTGTCTAGCAAAGCCCAAACCAGAAGGGTCGGAGGAACTCGTGAGAGCCATCAGGCTCTCTTTACATCGCAGCTTCGCAACACCTTGTATGTCAACGTTCCATCCTGTGCAGCAGGCTTCGAACGCAGGCAGTCCATGTGAACATCCACATGCTTAGTGGTCGGCAGCGAAGCCGGACCGTGTCGTCACGGGTTGGCTTTGGATGTTTGCGTCTTTGCAGTTCTGTGCATTTCAGTTCTGATGCGGCTGTTGTTTCTTTCACCTTAAAGACTTATCTGCTTGTACCAGCCCTAACACATCACGACGAGTTGGCTCAGCATGAGCCGTGACGGCACGTCACACGGGGTTTGGTCCCTGCTTCACAGGGCTTCTCTTGCAGGTTGAGGGGACTTGAATGCGAAGACTGCTGCTATACCGGAGCTAGAAGTTTCAAACAGCTGCTGACCTTACTCTTACTACTCAGTACCGTTGTTGCTATTGCTTAGAGCAGGGGTCCAGATGTTGCCAAGCCGTGTGCTGTGGTTGAGTTTGCCTTCCAATCTCTTTGGCCTTGGTTCGTTTCTTTTTCCGACATGGTCTCCAATCCCTTAGATCCTGCCTTTTCTGAAATTGGCACAGCATTGCTGTTTTTGTCGACAAAAGAGTGAGCACGCCCGTAAAATGTTGCGTAGGTGTTAGGGTTCAGCTTGTTTGGTCGCTTTACCTTGTACATTGTCGATGCATCACACCGTCCTTGCATCACCTCGCCTTCGGCATGTATCATTGCGATGCTGGAAAACAGTTTCGGGAAGCAAAACTTGCAGTTGCTTGCAGGTGACCGTCCTCATCAACGGCAAGGTGGGGGGTTGCCCTATAAGGTACTTTCCACCAAATTTAAAAGTCCTGAGGCCGTAGACGTGAACCTTACCCCTAGAACCCCTTTGCTTGTAATGTAGTCTTTCGATCCCCAGGTGGTGGCTCGTTTGGAAGCATCCGTCGAGGCCGGGCCGTAGACATCGAAAAGCTGTGCTTGAGTTTGCTTCTTCGGGGACATGTTTGTTATCGCCGCCCCCTGCTTCATGTGTAATTGGCTGGTAGTGACAAGCATGGAAGCTTGCCGACGAAGCGATGCAGCCGTAAACTGTAAACTTGATATCCGAATTACAATTTTGCTAGCCTCCGGCTGCATTGCTTGGAAGTTGATACGACTCTGTAGTTCGCGGGCGCGGTGTTGCCAAAAGATACTGGCGCTTGCAGTTTCGATCTTTTGCGGTGCAAGGTGGGGCAGATAGAAACAGTACCCCAAGTCCCTTCGGGTTTGTTTGTTTGTCGTAAGGCTTGTAGCTACACTGTACTTTGATGCACGATCGGTCTTGGAGCCGGCGTCTCAGTTCCAAGCAGAATCTGAAGCGACTCCCCGAACTTCGGGGCGATTGGAGAGTGTCTTGGGAGGCTTCAGGAAAGTGGATCCTTCTTAAGGAGCTTCGGGTATTGAGTAAGCACTGAGCAGCTAGCTTCTGTCGCTGCATGGCAGGAGCACACGGCACATCACTTTGGCGAGCCTAGGCTGCAAAGGTGATGATCCTTACCCTGAGGGTTTCGGTGAGATTTGGTGATGATAGCCGCGTGGGATCATTATGGCTTTGCGCTTGAGGTGTAAGCAGGAATAGCCGGATGTAGGGTTTGCCGGAAACGGAAAAGCATCCAGAACGGTATCTTGATCTGGTAACTGCAGCGATTTTCTTCACGAGGAATTAGGTCAGTTGAACTTGATTTGGAATGGCGACACAAGAGTATATAGGTTTCAAGATTCAACACGTAGAGTTTAGGTTGAAGGCCCTTCCTTGGATCGACGGCTTGGATGCTACACCCACACGAACAAAATTACCATCAAAGGAGAAGGCGCTGATCAGCAGCCAGCCACGAGCAGCGACGGTGCAAGTTGCCTCTTCTCAAGCCAAGGTCACTGCGATATTAGTGTTATCATTAGTGTTGTTGTTTCGGGTTTCGATCAGACACTTGAGCTTGCTGTCTTTTGAGTTCAGTTGCGTGGGCGAAAGGGGTAGGGGGAGGGGGAAGGGGCAAGGAGGCCTCGTGCGCGCTGTGCCGTGTACGATGAGTTCGGGTGTGGGAAGGTCCATGAGCTGAATTCAGTGATTGTGTAGGCATGCCTGAACTCCAATTGACACATGCAGGCAGCTGCAGTAATAGCCCTCGATTTTGGCAGCAGCAAAGTGTGCAACAGGGATTGCATCGACTAGCAGAGGCAATCCCGCGATGACAGTATTCATCAAGCAACAGGTCTGGGGCGTACACGAACCGCATTGCCTACGAACATTGATCGCCTGCAGAGCTCGAACGCAACCACCGTTGAGTAGCTGCAATATCTCGCATGTGTTGGTTTAGTTCTGCTACCCAGCAGACTTAGACCCTATAAACATGCGATAAAAACCCTGTAAACCCTATAATCGTAGGTGCTCGCGTTGGATCGGATCGCTTTCAACGCCCTGCTTGGCTCCCTCGAGGACAGAGGGAGGGTGTCGGTCCGGCAAACCCTTGGAAGCCTCTGAAGCACCCTATCTAGCGGTCACATTGACCAGACTAGGGTTCCTTTTCGGCATTGCTTTGCTGTAAACAGTTCCATAGAAGGGTCAGTTTCGGGGATAATGCAATGGTTTCTGACAAATAAAGGTGTCATACTGTGCTTATAACATCGACTTTAAGGCATGACAAAAAAAGCACATCATTCAGGCTTCTATGGTACACTCCTCTGATGACCGTTTAATTAGACCAGACCAGCCTGAACCCATAAGCAATCTATCACCCAAACCCTAAACTGTTAAGTTTACCAGCCCTGTAATATACTATGATATATACTATAATATATACTATGATATATAGAGACAGTCTTATCAGCCCGCATTAGAAGCATGCCCTAAGCCCGCACCCCCTAAGCCCTAGGCCCCTAAACCCTACAGCCCCAAAGAATGTCACGAGCAGGACATCCTACGCGCTCAAGAGGATGGGAGATCGAGGCCCCTTTAGCCTCTGTGTGCTTTTGGAACCTATTTCTTGCTTTTTAGAATAGAAATTTTCTGGGGATTAGCGTCTGATAATCATGCAGTATTGTGTTGAGTGGGGCCTATATATGTAGCAATTAAAGTTTTGTTCAAGTTCTTTTAGGTTGAAAGCTTATGTCTGAACTTGAAAGGCTTTCAGGTTTAGATTTGCTTTATCTATCTTCTCAAGCTTCGCACGAAAGCCCTAAAGTTGTGGTTCGGGGTTCAAGTAGTGTCTTTAGAGTAAGCGTCGGTGCGTGCCTGTTTGTCGGGCTGACGAGGTGGTCAGGTTCAGCTTCAGAACCTCACAGGTTCGTAAATGGGAATGCCTTTCTCTTCACTTGTCGTGCTTTTCGTTCAACTACTCATATACTTATCCTTCGTCTTTGGACCGTGCTCCACGCCTTTACAAATTGCCCTTGATTGTAGTTGCTGCTGCGAGAATCCCTTCGTTGCTGGCGCTCGTGGCGCACCGGAAACCCTGATCCGCGACTCCAAATGCCACAGCCCATCCCCCAAACAGGGTTTGGGATCTTGGCGACAGCAGCAGCTCTGTCTTTCCTGAAGGCTCCTGTCACAAATATGGACCCCTGAATAGGAAGATGCTTCATGCAGCAGGACCCACCAACGACGTACCCCAGTCTTGAGACTTCAAAAGCCGCCACGAAGGGATTGCGAGTCACTAACGTTGATAATGCCTGTAGCAGCACTGTTTCTCATTAGAGTCATTTGAGTTTTAGCTATTTTCGAAGTCCTCCCCAGCCACAGGCAGACGAGAGTCAATCGAGGGTTGACCTTGAAGCCGTTCCAAAAGGCAGGAGCCGAAGAGCGCTTGGCGTTGAGGGGGGGGGGGGGTTGATTTGGGGCGTCACGGGGGTGAGTTGTCTTGAAGTCGGGCTTCGATTGGGGGTGAAGAGCTCAGGGTTGAGATTCGGAATGGGGGCGGAGGCTGTAGTTTTGGATGGTTATGGTTAGGTAGGGCTTGGGATTCAAAATTGGGATTGCAGCTTGGATTTACTGACTTGTGCAAGTTTGGATTCCTGTGCAAGAGCTTTCAAGTGAGCATTTAAACGTCCATTCGGTTGTCTCGGAGCTCTCATAGACTTCAGAGGGTGTCAAATCCACCAAAGTTCCGAAACCTCCTCAACGTTTCAACCTCAAAGCACTATCGCGGTTCAGACACCGAAGCCGCTCCGGACGCGCGGTAGGTCTCAGGTTGGGCTCGTGGTTTAAGATGAAGCGCTCCTGGTTTGAGATTTAGTGTTTGGGGTCCCCCACATAACGTACACCATCTTCCTGAAGCCTGAACCATCAAGTCCGAGCCCCCTCAGATCTTCCGCAAAGACCTGATGGGTGTTGGTCTCCTGGGCGTCGGAGAGTTCGGGGCCGTGGAGCTCGTAGCGCACCGACGGGCAGATGAAACCTTCGCAATGAAGAGTCGCTTGTCTTCCGGCTTATGCGCTTCGCAACACGGGGCTAGAATCAGGGTTCTTTAACGGCCACTTCACTACACTATGAGGGGCTTAGGGTTACAGGTGTACCGCTTTTGTGCGTTTCTGGCCTGTGTAGGGATGTCCGAGCAAGGATGTGAGACGAAGGTTCAGGTTGGCGGGCTCAGCGCGTAAGATGGCTCGGGGAGGTGTTCCTGCCCTAAAGCGCAAGGGTCTCAGTCTTGAGCATGGAAGGCACCGCCCCTGAGAGTCCTTACTCTTCTTCTTCATATGTTTCCATTATCCGTATTCTCTAAAATCATGGTGCAAGGGCTCGCCTCTCCGAGGAAGAAGGACCAGGGATTTGCAGAGTCCTGGCTATTTCGGATGCCTCGCATAGGTCATGTAGGTCGAGCTTTCGGATCGAGGGTTTAGGACTGGGAAGTAGAAGGCTTGTCGTCTTCTGCACTTCGTGTCGGAGGGTCAAGCACGGCCGGATGCTTAGCTCAAGTGGTATGAGGCGGTTTCAGGCAATACTGGCAACTGAAGGGAGGCGAGGGGTCTGCTTCTTTTTGAAGACTCTTGTGCTCAGAGCCTCCCCCTGTCGCAAGGAAGCCCTGTTCCATGACAGTCTCGCCTGCACTGCCTTGTTTCACAGGTATGTCGAAAGCCCTGTTGGTGCAGAAGGGCAAGCAGAATGTTGCCTTGAATGAGAAGCATGTGCTGATGTATGTTCTCTCGCCCTTCATCGTTCAGCTTTTCGAGCGGCTTGTCTTAATCTTATCTGGGGTAAGCACCCAAGGCATACTTCGTGTCACCAAGAGTCCGCGTGAAAGAGCTGCGTAGTTTAGGAGTTTTCGCAGGCAGAGACTTGGAACACAAGAGTACCAACTCATAGGTTCTACAAGACAGTACTGGCATGACGTAGAGTTCTGACGTTCGCGCAATAGTACCCTCACGAATCCAAGAGCTTCATTCCACCAAGATATCAGTGGAGCTTGGAGACCCATGCCACCGATACCACAGCCGAGGGCGTACAGCGACTCATCCACACTATACCTCCTGTTCGATGCTTGTCTGCTTCTTATGGTGGCTCGTTGCTCAAGAATGCCTGACCGAGAGGCAGGACAGACGTGTCGGCTTTTCTGGGCGCACCATCGGCCATCTTGAATCTGGAGATGACAAGGATCCCGCCATCCGCGCTCCGAGAACCAAGGAAGCCGCCTTGGGCGGAGACCTACACGGCCTGTACTGCCGCAAGCGCCTCTATGGAAGCGAACGTCATGCAGCCTTCTACACGGCAGGCGTGACGATGCACCCGTGCCCCTGAGTTGGGGATTACGCTCGTGCACTCAGACTTCTTTATTAGTTAGCTGTTTCTGATGCGACAAGCATCTTTCCTTCGGTCAACACAACGCCCTGCAAGTTCGACCTGCTTGTGGGCTGTGCTGCCTTCCCGCAGTGGCATCAACGCAGTGTCACCACCATCGTATGAAGGTAAGTTCTGGAGATCAGAGGTCACAACTATAACTTGGTTACGACGCAGGTTTGAAACTGATTCGAATGAATTTCGTCAGTGAAGGATGAGACATGTCATGTGGATCCTTGCCAAATTCATCCAAAACTTTCATGACATCTCAGAGTAAACCGAGCAGCACTGCCCCTCGCAGGATCTGCATTGGCTCTTCACTACCTGCATCAGCGCCGTTTCTCTGCTGCACGCGTGGCGGTCGTCGGAGGAATGATTTTGATCTCTGAGGGTCTTATCAGCGATTTTTACAAGTCGCATGGTGGCAGAGTGGGGCTGCATTTCGTGCAAGGCGGAATCCTGCTGGAAAGCCCGAAAACTCGAACATAAACAGGGGCTTGCATGGGCTTGCGACAATTACGGTCCGCTTAAGGTGGAGCATTGCGTGCGTGTGAAAACTCAGTTTGGGGCTACACCCTGTGCGCTGTGTTTGGGCCTTTCTCACGAAAGCACGGCCAGTCCAAACGGAGTCCAAAGCATGTGGTAGGTGAAGGCAGCGACTGCACGAACACGCAGCGGACAACTTCTAGCCCCAAACCGACAACTCATCCGGAAGCAAGCCACGAGAACCTTCCAGTCATCATCCAGGTATCATTTACCGAGACCTCCGGCCAGAGAACATTTTGCTGACCCAGGACTGCTTTTTGCCCCTCAGGTCCATGCCCAAAGCCACCAGGCTGCTAGAACAATCAACGATTTGTCGGCAAGTTTGCGTCAGATTTCCAGCAGATCCCCGAAACCCATGAGGTCTATATATAGGTATATATATATACACATGTATATTATATACATGTGTATATGTATATATACACATGTATGTATGTGTATGTATATATACATATATATATACACATGTTATATTTTGGCTCTGCGTTTTAAACGCGAATGCGTTTCGCCGCCAATGTCGAAGCCCCAGCCGCTCAGGTCCAGACCTGCACACTTGAAGCCGGATGTGAACCCAGAGGGTCCACATATACTACTATTATGGAATTAAGCCCCAAAAGACCATCCTCATTATGGTTTTTTGGACCTAATTCCACATTAGTAGTACGTATGGACTTTCTTGGGAATGTGACAAGTCCCAGGACCCTCCTTGTACCCTCAAACAAGGGGTTCAAAGGGCCCCAAACACAGGTACTCAGGGTTTCATAGAGGGTGGTCACAGGATGGCAATATCAAGCTCTGCGACTTCGGGCTTGCCTCCTCGCCGCAAAAAAGTAGGCTGGGGCAACAGTGTCAGGGACAAGGAGGAGTTCAGCAGGTGTGGTGTTCGCTGGAGCGTTTGGCGTGGAGTTCGGGCAACTTCAGGACTTTCCAGCGAACGCTCGACGAATTCTTCAGTGTCAGTTTTCCTTTATGTGCGGCCGAGGCAAAGTTTGTGGCAGAGAGGACCTTCACCAACTGTGGCATTCCAGACTACTACGCTCCGGAGACATGGGGTTCATGTGCTTCGCAGTTCGGGGCCTTCGGATTTCGTGCAAGTTTCAGAGCCTGCTTCTCGAACACTGGCTCAAGCCGGTAGCTGTTTGAATCATGGCGTTGGAGTCGTATATGTTGTGGGTGCAGAGTCAACTCCGCGGTCTCTGTTTATGATCATGACGACTTCTCAGGCGAAGGATGCAAGTTTTGGTGCGGAACGGACGATTGCTCGATGTTACGATTGCTTGCAATAGTGTTGGCGTTGTTCAGCAACAGCCTAAAACGACTCAGGGCTACGAATGGCTTCAGCCACGGTATTAATACCCTAACTCGAGATCTGACGCCCACGGATACGTGGCAGAAATATGACTTTTGCAGCACTTGGCAGGTGATAGACGTCCGTTTTCTGACGGAAGCGCAACTGACGAGACAAGACTGTACTTCGCATCGGGATTCACATTGAGCACCGATGTGAAACGACTAAATCTTCAGGCTCATGCAGACTTTCCCATCGAGTAGAGACGGAGATGCTTGTGAGTCAAGATTCATAGGTCGATAAAGTGTTTCGTGTTTCTACTGACGACTCCTTGTGTGTTGGGCTTCAACTTTATGCATCGGTCCTCTCCGACAGGAGATGGTACTTGCTACTGGACATGGCCTGGAGCTGGACTGGTGGTGCTTCGGGATCCTTCTGCTACTTGCCCTTAAGATATTATATATATATGTGCAATGTAATTCATGTGATGTCTTCTGTGATGTGGAGCATATATCATCCAATATAGCAGCTATAGCACTTAGCATAGGATATGGACTGTTGCTTCAAAGAGCACTGCAAGCCAGCTTTGCTGGGATCCTGGCATGCAGAACGTGGAAATCGAAAATCGTGGTTCCCTGAAGCGAAACAAGCCTGCCCACTGCGTGCAGTCAACCCCAGATCAAGGGGCACCTCGTACTCGAACGATGGTGGGAAGGGTGGGCATGAGGACAACTGAAGCAGTGAATGGAAGACATGAGCCCCCCCCAAGAACAGCCTCTTCTAGCGCCTCATGGCCAGAGGTTTGAGCTGATGTCGGGGAAGCCGCCCTTCGAATCGTCGAATCCCATGCAGATTTACGTCAGCATCCTGCACGGCATCAGCAAGGCAAGTATAAGACTTGCACCTATCACTCACCTTCAGCATTCGGGTGCTGGATGGAGCAAAGTTGATGATTCTCAAAGAGCGGGAACAGTTCCGATGTTGAGATCATCTTGCGAATGCAGGCTGCACATTTGCCCGAACAACAGCCTCCAACTCCAAACATCTGGCTGTCTAACTATCTATGCATGCATGCATGTATGTCTGTTTGGTTGATTGTCTACATGTGTGTGTGGATGTTTGATGTTTGTATGTATGTGTGTGTGTGCGCGTATGTGTATGTAAGATTATGCATGTATGTGTGTATGCATGCATGCATTCATGCATGTGTGCCTGCCTATATGTGCCCATATACGTATGTATGTAAATGTCTGCACGTGTTTGTACATATGTATCACGTATGTATGCATTCATGGAGACACCCTTAGGCATCCGTACGTACGTACATTCATACATACACACGCACATGCCTATGTACATGCGCATCTCACATACATGTCCAGACATATACATACATGTTACATACATGCATACGTGCATACATGCACACATGCACACATGCCTACATAATGCCTACATACCTGCGTGCGTACAGTATGTACCTCTCCTATATGCGTACATGCGACAAAGAGACAGATAGGCATAGAGGCTTGCTACAGTTTATGGGAGGTCGCCATGCCCGAGGGCAACACCAGAGCCGCGGGCGATCTCATTAAGCTGCTGTTAAAGACCGCATCCAGTGGGTTTTGGGCCGCCTTTGCTTATCTACATTGGAGGGGGTGGGGTGTGTTTCGTGGGGGTCCTTGCTGATGGCGTATGGTCGATGGTTGGGGTTCATTGTCACGGTAGCCTGATGCTTGCGCCAGGAAGGAGCCATTGGACAGATTACCTGTGAAGGAGGGCTTCGGGAAGCTGAAGGACCATACCTTCTCAAACGCTTGGCATAGTGTTGTTGCTTAGGGTTCTTGAATTTAATCATCATAGGATTATACCCGCACCAGCGACCGTAAATTGCGATGAGCGAACTCGTCTCGTGACGAAGGAGCAGCGCTGGTTCTCCGAAATTTCCTGGAATAGCTTGTCAGAGTTGCAGATGGACACCCCCTACAAGCCTAACATACGCCACAAAAGAGACCTTGCGAACTTCCATCCGCGATCAGAGCTGGTTGTGCAGCCTCCTGAGTATGAGGATGACGGCACCGGCTGGGATGCCAACTATCCCACCTAGTGACCTAGTGACCTGTACCCCGAGCTCTGTGGAGTCCCTCACATGAAAGGCGACTGCTTGGTCATCATGGTTGCCCTGACATGCACATTCTCTGGATCATCAGCAAAGTCTCAACACATGCTGGTTCATACTGCGATGGCAGCTTGCTCCTGGCGCCAGCAACAACAACATGATCGGTCGAGGGTTTTCGCTTGGCTGATGAATCTTGGTGGTCTGTCGTTCGTGACCTACGACTACAGCGCGTCAGACTTCACCTTTCAGAAGCACGTGCATGGCTTCGTGCGACTGAACACTCCCTTCTGGCGCGACATTGCGACACTACCGTTTTGCCGCAGCAGCTCAGCAGCTCAGCAGCATCATGGCGAAAGCTTTAGGCTTTATTTGTTGCGTTTTGGAAGCAGGCCTGTTGCAGAATGTCAGTTACTCAGGAAGGTCGCGAGGCGCATTGTGAACACCGACAAAGAGCATCCCTGTCTAATGCTGCCGTTACGATCACGGAGCTGCCTGGACTTGCCAATGCATGTCAAGCTCCAATCCAGCATGCCGAGGCGCACTAAGCGAAGTCGAAAGCGACACTTTGAGCGTGCTGTGGAAAAGACAAAGGGTCTCAATCAGTGATTTGGAGAGTACACGCCTTTCCAACTCATCCTAGGCAGCAGATGAAGCAGAAGAATTGTTTCATGTGCACGGATCAAGATTGTCACTGCATCTGGACAAAGCATGCAATAGGTGCAGTGACAGTTGCAGAAGGCTGAGCAGTAGAAGCAGTGGTCGCAGTAACGGTTGCCCCCGTTGTCATCCTCACCAGCACAGAACAGGAGGAGGTTGAAGGAGGAAGAGGAGGCGGAGGAGGAGGAGTGGCAGCAAAAAGAGACTATGTGGGAGGCGTACTCGTCGTGGCTGTAGTGTTGTCGGATTTGTAGATTTGCATCAGACAGGAAGGGGAGGAATGTTGCTGTAGCACTTTCCGGGAGAAAACCGTCCTCAATGAATGAACATCACGAGCAAAGTGTCGTCCGCATCGTTTGTCAGGGCTAGGCTATACAGCCAGTCTATCATGCTGATGCGTTTTAACCCTTATGGTATACACAGCGCCGCCCGAGCCACGCAGCTCAAACCTTGCGGTTGTGCGACGGAGGTCCCCGAAATCCGTGAGCTCCCCCGAGCACAGAGGCAAAGTGGTGCGTCTGGCTTCCATCGAACATGTGATATATAGTGCTTGATTGGTGACAGAGTATGTTGCGTACACTCGACCTTGTTACTTATGTACAAGTTGTATCTCCGCGCGCGCGTGTGTGTGTGTGTGTGCGTGTGCGTGTGTGTCTGTATGTGTGTAGAATATATATATATATATATAAGTATATAAATATACATATATATATAATGGTAATATATATATATAGAAGGATACAGACATAGACTGTTTAGATTGGCAGTTAGATCAATGTGGTCGTGTGCATCCATGTGTGTAGCGCATGCACGCCCACAAGCCTCAGTTCTCTCCGTGTTGGTCGCATGCGTCTTACGGTGTTGATGTGCGTGCTTGCTTGCCTGCCAGTTTTTTTTAAATGCATGCGTACTCACAGGCTGGATATATTGATCAACCAATGGTCAGATTGACAAACGCAAGCAGCCCATTTGTCCAGGTGCCTGTGATGCCTTGCATTCTCATGTGTCTTTGTGTACGCACGCTCTGGATAGTTTGATTTGAAGATCTTAGTTCTGGGATCTTCCTACAGTCTCCATTGTAGTTCCTTTTTGGGGTTACCTTTTCGGATACTTACTACAAACTTGGTTAAATGGTTAAACCAAAAAAAGGAACTACAATGGAGACTATAGGTTGGGTGTGACTGAGGAGTGCCACCGTGCTTGGCGACACATCAGGTACTTAAAAGCCCAGTCGCCCAAGCGTAGCATCAACACGTCTTAAAGAGTCGCCATGAAGCCCTTACAGCCCCAGCCATTCACCCTAAAACCCACAAAAGATTAACCGTGTCAGAGCTCAACCCGATCCCTGCAGCTGGTACTCTCGTGGTAACATAATCAGAAGCACGGGGATCTCACAGTGCTATATTACATACTCTTTATCAGTGGGTTTAACGCATAGTTGGTTGCCAATCGAGCGGTCCTTGTATCTCGGACTGTGCACAGGCGGTGAGGCCTTCATACATGCAAAGGTCTTGGGAGAGTTATGGCCCTGTTGTAATCTACAGCAGCAGACGAGTCCAACGTTTTTCGATGTATGGACGCGAAAAGTTGCTAAAGAGGCGACGATGGAGTCGCACTGGCAAGCATGCCAGTTCTGGGATGCATCGGTTCCAGTTTGGTCAAGCTCTTATGCTGCACGGCAGCAATGGGTAGCAGCTGTCTTCCCTCTTCCTGCTCACCTCGTATCCACTCGACTCTACCGCTAAAGCGATCTCTTGCCTGATCCAGTCCTCCTACCCGGTCTGCGTGGCCCTGAGTCGCCCACTGACCTACTCACTCGCTCATGCAATGCATGCGACTCTCTACATCCATCGCTCTCCCTCCCCCTTCTTGCCATATTATAAGACTGCAACATCAAGACGTCAGGGAACCACTGGAGCTGTTGCAAGCGACTCTTCGGCATGCATGCAGCCTGGGAGGGTCCCAAGAACAGCTCATTACGTTGCTGTTGAGCAAGGTTGTCGCCGGCATTTGCATAGCGTGCGCCGTGCTGTCTGGCATGAATCAGGCACGCTTTGTGAGGAGTGTAGGCGCTGCACATAAGCCGACCATAGCCGGCCCCTACTAGCTTGATTGAATATGCATGGGCAGTCAAAAGTGGGTTAACAAGCACGCTTTTGCCGGCTTGAAGCAATCGTACATGACTAGAGTTTCTCATGCAACAGTCTCTGCCAGGCCTCGTCGACGGCGTCGCAATTCTTTTTGATTTTTGCTTGTGCAACCTGCTTAACTTTTGGCCTGGGTGGGACGGCGTTCATGTTGCTCTACCTGAGCCGCGGCACGATTATGCATGTGAAGCTCTTCACTGTAGACCCTGTATTGCATCCTTTTGTAAGAAAGCCCGAGGCCTTAAAGTAATGGTACTCTACTCTTGAAATAGGCCCGAGGCCCTGAACTAAACATGGTGAAGCAGTGGTCACGTTCTGTCGCCGATTTCTGCGATTTTCCAAGGAAGCCTTGCAGTCATGAATGGAGCAAGCCCAATCATGAGTGGATGACCCTTGTCAGATACGAGCCGTTGAGGGTTTCGGCTTCTTACCTCTTGGGTTCGGGGTTCATCCTCCTGTGCTGCTATATACGTCATCTTTCCACACGGCATGCCCATCAATCCTAGCTCCGTCCTGGTACATGTAGCTGTGCATGCTTACTCACATCCTGCCTCACCTTACCTCGCCTCACCTAGTAGTACCTTGCCCTGACCCTGCTCTACAGTACCTTCTCCTTGCCCGTACCCTCACCGCCCCCTTCATCTTCACCGTTTCCGTTAATTTTGCCTCTACCTGATCTATTGCTTCTTCGCATCGTTTATCTTTACGGCTTAACATATGTTTTACATGTTGCGCCTTGCTGAAGACATGATGTGTTATGTTTTGATACAGCAAGATGACATACAATTCTACATGATTTCATACCCTGCTTTCCTCTCTGTATGTAGACAGGGTGACAGTCAGGCAGATGGGCAGACAGACACAAGCAGAGACAGACAGAGACAGACAGA